AAATAAATAAATAAATAAATAAATAAAATAAAATAAAATAAATAAACTAACCCAGAATTATATTCTTTAAGCCAGTTCAGAAGAGCATCTTTGTTGAAGGCTGCTGCAGCAGCCACATTGCTACTGTTCAGCTGAATGTCAGCAATTGTTTCAGAGGTGCTCACAACTTCAATGAGGCCAGAGCGATCTCCTGTAGCTAAACAGCCATAAGGCAGCATCCTGAAAAGAAAAAAAAAATGGGCATAAAGTCACATTTTTATAATGTCCATGGACAAAAGAATAAAGTCTTATTTTCCTTAAAATGAAACATTTATTTTTTAAGATTTCTTCCTTGATAAAGTTTTATTACTGTTTTACTTGCCATTCCTATGCTATTGTCATATAAAAAATATAAGGCCTACCTCTGGATAGAGAATAAATCTTCTGGTCAACAGATAGAGTAATTTATTAAGAGTTCCAGTGTGCCAACTAAATCTTGTATTATTTGTTATCTAGTTACTCTGTTGAAACATGCTATTTTTTGCTCAGATAGGTGGACAGAAGCACATCACATTCATTTTTACTCTAAATTTTGGGGGAGGGAACCTCCCTTTATGGAATACCTAGTAAGTGCCAAGTGCTAGGCTAACCACTTTACACATTATCTTGATTAGGGGAACTGTGTCTTTTCAGTTTTTCAAGCCCATCTCAAGTTCATCTTCAAGCTCATCTTTGGCTCTTTGCTTTTTCTTATGCTCAACACTGAATTTATCTACATTGAAAATGTATCCAGAATCTAAGCCCATCTCCACCCCACCATTCCTCTGCTAACACCCTATCCAAGTCAACATCAACCCTTACCTCAGTTATTTAATAGTTTCCTAACTGGTCATCTTGCTTCCATATCATAGTATGCTCTAAATACAACAGCAACACGCTCACTTAAAATGTACTCGTATCACTTCCCTGACCAAAATTTCTACAATTTCTTCCCATTTTAGAGTAAAAGCCAATATGCTTGCTATGGTTCACAAGGCCATCTTCAATCTGGTCCCTCTTCATCTCACCTACTACCATTGCCTACTTTGTTCCTAAGCTACTGACCTCCTAGCTGTTCCTCAAACATATCAGGCAACTAACTCTTTCATGCCATTTTTTTTTTTTTTGAGATAGTCTCACTTTGTCACCCTTGGTAGAGTGCTGTGGTGTAGCCTCACAGCAACCTCAGATAATTAATTTCCTTGCCTTAGCCTTCCAAGTAGCTGGGAGGTGCCCGTGCAGACAGGGTCTCACTCTGGCTCAGGCTGGTCTCCAACCTGTGAGCTCAAGCAATCCACCCACCTCGGCCTCCCTGAGTGCTAGGACTACAGGGTGAGCCACTGTGCTCAGCTCCTCTTTCACCCCTTTACACGTATAGTTTTCTCTGCCTGGAACATTTTTTCCCAAGACATCCCTATGGCTTACTCTCCCACTTCTTTAAGTCTTTGCTTAAATGTTACCACCTCAGGGAGAACAGATGAAACACTACCCCTGACACAAAACTCACTATCCCTGTCCTGCTTTACTTTCTTGTATAGACCTCAACATTACCCTCCATCCTGTACAGACTTATTTGTCTTTCTCCACCATTGATATATTATGTTCTATTGGGCAGGGATATCTTGTTCACTGCTGTATTTTCAGTGCCTGAGAATATACCTGGCATAAAGTAGGTACCCAATAAACATCTTTGAATCAACAAACAAAGTGAATAACAAAATCTCTATAAGGTTAAGTTCCCAGTTTTATAAATGAGCAATATGAGTAACTTGCCAAAAGTCACACAGTTCACTAAGTGGACTTACTCAACTTAAAACTGGGCCTGTGTGTCTCTAAATCTATCTTTTAAACCTAACACAATTTCCAGCTTATGTAACGGGCTGCTTCTTGTCAAGAGAAAACAGACAATGAAGCCGATGTGAATGAAGAACTGCTTCATGTCTTCCAGTTGACAGTGATATGAATAAAAAGTTAAACCAGAGTACCAAGGTGCCATCAACAGGTCTGCATGACTTCTTATTTCCTGAGCTTTGAAAGCTTACCTCTCCTATTGGATTATAAACTCCTTGTAGACACCAATCTTAACTGAAAAGAGGTGACTAAATACAGTTTCAGAAAAAGACAAGAATTGATATTCTCATTTACTAGAGAGTAGCTAATAACACAGTCTGGAGAGTAGATTACCAAATGAGATCAGGTGCATTCAAGGTGGTATAGCTGTAGACAAGAGCAGATTATGAATTAAAATAATTTTTGTTAAATTTATAGGTGGGATTTTGCTTTGATTTGCGATTTTTCAAATCTGGTGAAGTGAAAATTTTCTCAGATCTCTTGTGACCATTTTAAGAAGAATTTGTCACTTAGCTATTTACATCCTCTTCCCATCAGAGTTTTAAACATTTCCCTTAGTGATTTATGTGAGCTCTTTATGTAGTAACTTTTTCCTTGTTTTGACCACAAATATTTTCTCTTAATTTTCTAAATACTGTATTATAAAAACAACTCCAAAATGGAATATTTGAACCTTGGAAGGATCAGATATATGTCAGGTAACTACAAAACGCAAGGGATGGAATTCATGGGTTTAATACATATTTGAGTATAGCTAAGCATTGTGTTAGATGCTATGATTCAGGAAAAAGCAGTCCCTGCTGTCTGTGAGCTTACAAAGCACAAATGTACAGTATGCACATGAGCACTGCACGAGGGAGAAGTTCCAGGAGAACATAACTGGAAGCAGGAAGGACCTCACTAAGGAGGAAGGACAGCAGCAGCGGAGGAGAATGAAAGGGGGAACACAAGAGCAAGGTGAGGAACAGAGATAGTGAGTGCTGGAAAGACCCTGCGGGTCCCTGTACGCCATGTAAGAACTGTAAACCTCCTAAAAGCACTGAGAAAGCCTCTGAAGGAGTTTATGAAAGACCAACAGAAAGTGTGTGTGTATGTGCACACTGCATGGAGAAGGGAGTATAGGAGTGTTAGTGTTTGTAACAATCAGATAAAGAAGAGAGTTTTATTAAACAGTTATAATAAAATTCTTTACAAGAAAAATTACATTATTTTATGTCTCCAGCATTTTTCTAGCTCTATCAAAATAAGGTTGGAAGCAGAACTGTCAAACTATATTCTGATAGAGTGATATATACCAATAGATTGCTTTACATTTGCATTATTTATTTTTCCTTTTAAAAATGTACCCTTAGGTAAGAAAGGCAGCTAGAAAGTGTTGGTATTTTTACTGACGTCCCTTATTCTTATCATAACACAACACATGTGAAGCAAACACTGCCAGGTTAAAGTGCACTTTCTTACTTTCCTGCATCTCCTCCCACCTCACTTGCAGCCCAACTGGGCACAGGTCCAACAATTTCCTCTTCAAAAGCAGGCAATGATGAAAGCATTCACTGCCTTGAGGATGGACATTCACAATGGGAAGGAAAAAACATCCTTGTCAGAAAGACAGTTTGACAGAAGTCAAGCTGAGGACAAATACTTGGAACCCTGATCATCTTATCTAGGCCCCCTTTGCAGTCAACTTCTATGCTTCTTATAAAGGCCAAGTCAACAATTTCAGAATGTTTACCTTCCTTTCTCAAACTCTGACTGAAGTAGCAACCTTTCTTACTAAAGCAACAGTCAAAAAAATGAAATAAATTATACAGCAGCACAGATGGTAGCCCCCATATCCTTACCCTAAATGGATATGTAGCAAAATACCTCTGGTTTCAACTCTGACATGTTAAGTCTGAGTAGCACTTTAACCTATTGCCTCCAAAGAAGAAAAGTGTAAATCCTTTGCCTAAAGCTTGTATTACTTTCAAATCCTTCCTTCACTCCTCTAAGACTGCTGATCCAATATCCTTAAATAATTTTCATACAGCTATTTTAAAAGAGAAGTAAATTCTACTAGTACAACTCAGATGTAAAATCTTAATGAAGATAACTATCAAAAAGCTGATTTCATGTGTATTGGTGGGGGGCCAAGGAGGAGACAAGTAGAGGACTGGCAAAGTTACCAAGGGCTGGGCAGATCGGCATGTAAATAACCTATCAGACCTGCCTATTATTTGTTGACCAAAAGAGGGTCAAGGTGTCCTAACATATTAATGGCTTTCAAATGAGCTAATCTGACATAAAAGATATAAATGAGTCTTTTGAAACTTTAGAGGAAAAAAGGCAATGAACAATATGCATTTTTATTCATCCAAACATGGCACTGTTACCTGAAGATTTGGGATTGACCTTAAAAGATTGGAAACTACATGACCCATTTTAACCAGAACAGCTGGCCCAAAGAAAAACACAGTGGGAAAACTGCAGCACATCTACTTATAGAAACCATAAAAAAGTTTTGGTGAGAAAAAGGCATTAATTTGAAAATGTACTTAAAAAGAATTTAAAAGTCCTGCAATTTTTTTAAAAACATGAGGTCAAAGTACAAAAAGTCAGCAAAGACTCCACTGGACAGACAAGTTCCCTTTTCTTGTCATACACACAATGTTTCCCATGAGACAGATGCTAGGTTATTTCTAGCACTCTCACATGTGGCTGCCTCCCATTGTCTGAGGTCATAATGAACTTCATTTGATGCTAAATTTGCTTTACATTTAGATAGAATAAAATCAAATGTAAGAGAAAAGAACTTGGCCGATGGAACTAAAAAAACTAGGACAAGGTTTTTAGCTTAGCATTTCATAACTAAACAAGCTTCATGGTGTGGCCTTGAATCTGCTATTAGCAAAGAAAACCACCACGTAGCTTATGTGTTAACTTTGGAAAAAACAAACGAGTTACTAAGCCTAAGTTTGAAGTTTCCCCCCCTTTTGTAGGCTCAATCAAGTAAAAACATTTTCCTGGGGGTTTATTTATATAAGAGTCAGTAAACTTTTGCTACAATGGGCCAGACAGTAAAAATATTTAGGAATTGCAGGCTAAGGTCACACTACTCACTGCTATAGTTGTAGCACAAATGCAGCAATAGGCAGTATGTAAACAAATGGCTGTGTGCCAATAAAATTTTATTTACAAAAACAGGTGGTTCAGACCAAATGAGGTTATGGTCTCTACACAGTGAGTTTCTTATGAGGACCCATTCCTCTTATTTATTCAGTATTCTTTACGTGGACTGAACAAAAATCTTACTGCCTCTTCAATGCTATTTTAACACAGTTCTATTAGAAATTTCTCCTAACTTAAAGAAA